TCTCTTTCTTCAAAGGAAGCAATAAAAAGGTATAATACAGGTAATCCTTCACTCATGACCACTCGCTTAACGACAGTGTGATTTGCTTAATGATTGCAGTGATTCACTTAACAACCTCAACAAAAAAGGTTGTAAAATCAGGCACAACTCACTTAACGACCACATCACTTAGTGACAGAAGTTCCAGTCCTAATTGTGGTTGTAACCCGTACAATCAAATTCTATTTATCTTATTAATGTCATTGTTATAGCTATAATGATATGCTTAATTTGTACATACAATTATGCTGAAAATGATTCATGCCACTGATAGTTCAAATACAAATATCAATATATCAAATATGTTTAATTAGAGTATCCCAGTTACAGTTAAAGAAAAAATATCAAAGATAAATTGGCATAAAAGAAATCATATCTTAGCAAAATTCAATAACAGTAACATTATAATGAGAAGATTGAGGACTAGTCCCATAACTGCACGGCTCTGTGGAGGGAAGGAGTAATCTTTTCCTCTAGCAAAGAGAAGGTCTCTCCTTTGCCTTTGAACCCCTCTCCTAGTCCTCCAAAAGCTGCCACTGAATTGAACTATGTGAAAAGAGGAAAAATTTAAAATACAATGGACGCAACTGCAGTAATTGTATTTAATTAATGCATTATAATGTTAATCAAATATCCACATAACTTCTTTGAACTTCGGTGTTGGAGAAGACTCCCAAGAATACCATGGCAAACCAAGAAAACAAATTGATCATTGAACAAATCAACCCAGAATTCTGCACTGAATAGCAGGCCCAAACATGCCTACAGAGAATCACTCAACCTGAAGCAGATTCTACATGCAATGATGCCAACAAGGGAACAGACCCTCCAACAAACCCACATGTCTGCTTTGCCCCCACATCTACACCAACAGCACCATCACAGGCCACAATTAGTGCACCCACAAGATGAGAAGCTCTTCCTCCAATGTTATATAAGTCATCATCTGCAGCAATGCCCATCTGGATTCTAGGACAAATAGGACAAACTTTGCACAGAAGAATTAATAGAGCCAAGTCTGATATCAGGACTCAAACAAGGATGAAGTAATATCAAAGCATTTAACCTCCCAGAACACTTTAAAGTTACTGTTTTGGAAAAGCAGGACTTTAACAGTGCCATTAAGCAAGCAATTGTTGAACTCCCATACATTAAAAGGTTTCAGGCAATCCAGAAGGTCTCAACAAACACAATGGGTTTTTAACGTATTACAATTGTTAATTGACAAGGTATTTGTAATATGTGTCACATATAACCTGTTTCTGTATAAACAACCTCTCTTCCCCCATCTGTCCTCCACACCTTTTCCCCCTTACTTTTTCCTCCCCCATCTCCCCCAATTTAGATCCTACATCAGTCTAGTCACTCTATGCATCTGATGAAGTGAGCTGCAACTCACAAAAGCTGATGCCTTTTAATAAAACGTGTTAGTCGGAAAAAGGTGCTACCAGACTCCCGATTTTTTTGCCACCATAGACTAACACGGCTTTCCTCCTACAGTGACATACTGAGGCTGTAATTTTTCATTGCAAATCTACTGTATAAACAGAATAAACTGCCAGTGTGAATAACTTAACAATGTGCTATAAATTAAATACGCATGCCAAACACATATTATTCTAACACTATTCCATAAACCCAGACAATATATACAACGGTCCTACTCTCAGATTACCAAAACTGCTCAATTTACCTACAAATACAAAGTTCTATTAGCAGATGAAATCCCCATGACCTATCTAGGTCTTATATTTACTGGTACGAACAACAACAAGCAAAGCATTTTAATTAAAATTTTCCAAGAATGAAACAGGCTCCAAACTGACTGCCAAAAGTGTATTTATGGAAAGGAACTGCTGTGGCATCTCAGTGATTTTAAAATAAAAAGTCACAACCGATCATATATGAAATTATTAAGCTTCAGCCAATAACGAGGGCATGTTAAGGCTGAATTTCACAAGTTAGTTGAGGATACTTAGGTCTGCAAGGGACATAGATATTTGTAACCCTGAATTAAATTAGAAAGGGAAAAGTAAGAATTTCCTTGGGTTGGGCTTGACACCTAATGAGTATATTCGTGTACATTTCTTAGTAGCGACATAGAAGCATTTCATTACTACCTCTTTCTATAATTTTTTTCAGCTTCCCAGTCTAGCCTACAGCCCTGAGATTTCTTAGTGGTCTTCTATCCAAATATTACTCTGTTCAGCTTTATTGGGATTAGCAAAAGTAGGTTAGGTGCAGCCTAACAAATTGAGGCCTACTTCTCTGGCTAATCTTCATTAGAAATGTGGATTTAATACTGTCCATAATATTCAAACCTTTTCAGTCAAGATTATTACTACTACTATTTCCCTGCAAGGAAATAAATATAGAAAGATTGAGATGTTAAATTTGTTCATATTATTCCTACTAAAACCACATTCTTCACAGTGTGGAAGTATTATAATATCTCTGTATCACAACTGGCCCAAAATATTTTACTGCAAAAGTGGAACACTGATACTGCACAGAGACCCATCATCACCCCATCCAAGTCAGAAATATTCATTCCTACAATTTCCTCCTCTTTCACAATAGTCAAAGTCCAGTGCTCCGGTATCTTTAACAGAGCTATCTTGCTTTAGAATGGAAGGACAGATTCTTACTGAGAATGCCTATTAGTATTACAACACATTTCCAAAAATACAAATCTGATTGAAATATGATGTTGCAGACCAAGGCTGCAATCTTGTCCCAGTAAAAAGCATGTGATTCCCAGGAAAATCAACATAAGTACTTTTATATCTGAGTGCAAAAATGCAATCCTGGAATAGTACTATTTTAGCAAAAGATAAAGCATCTTATTCACATTACACATCTGTTTAAAAATCAGGAAGTAAAAATGATTTGATTCTTCTCCACTCATTAACATATTGTTTTTTATATTTACGGTTTAATATGTCCCCACTATATTAAATTTATTTGAAGTTTAATTAATTTATTCTATCAAAAGTACTTGGCTATCCAACTGTAAAATGGTTTTCTGGTTTCCATTAATAGTGGAGTTTTCCAGTATTATATGACTGACAATTGGAGAAAAAAAAAACAGAACTCTAAACTAGAAAACAAAGAGCAGTACTATAACTTCCAGTTAAAAATGTAAATGTAATATTTAGTGGCTTACCTCTTTCTCTATTTTAAGCAGTTTCTTCACAGCCACCTCCTTGTCCTGAGATATCCATCGGGCTCGATATACACTCCCAAAACTTCCCCCACCACAGTTTTCAAAGAACTGCAAGTCATCGAATTTAATTTGCACAAATGAAGCACCGAGAGACAACATCTCATAATGACAACATATACCACCAAAAAATCTGTAAGAAAAAGGTAGCAAAAATAAAAAATTAGACTTCTGATATCATGGCTCACTGAATTCTTAACTTTTCTTTACACAATAATGCAAGCAAGATGTTATTGACACAAAACGCTGTAACGCTCACATTGCATACCTTCAATTCAGACTCCTGAAACTACTTTTTGTAGAGGAGCAACTAGAAAATACAGCACATTTTCTCCTAGGTCCAGATCCTGGAGCACTACCGGAAAAGGTTCTTGTATGTATGTGAGCGTGTGCCTGCACATATTGAAAGAGAGACCAGTTCCCTTACAGTGACGTACACTGTCAAGAGGAAAGCACACTTGCAACTGTCAGCTTGCCTAGGAGTTCTGGAATCTGGGCTATGCCATGAATCTTTGTTGAACCACTTGAAGAAATATACACAACCCCAAGTCCCTGAACATTCTGGCACAACGCTGATCTTTCCAGACCGAGCACCCCGCCTGAAATCTTTGCTAAAGAATAAATACTTGATTTGGAGTTGTAAGTGTATCTGGCCAAAATACTTTTTTTTCCCCACAGAAATGGCTTAATTGTGCTTCCAGAAACAAGGGAGGAATAATTTATCTTGGTTACCATCTGTGTGTGTGTGTGTGTGTGTGTGTGTGTGTTTGTACCCCTTCATGAATACCATGTCAGACTTTTGTTTGGTTTTATACTTAAACCAGATCATATCATACTGTTCACCAACAGAACAGAACATTATTCCATTAAAATTATAAATTATAAGATCACCTACCATTAAAAAAAAACAAACAGCTATCACATAGTTTGGGATTGGATCACTGAACAAATGTGATCTCTCCTCAAAACAAGATACATTAAAAATCCATTCACAACACGTATTACATTAATATGGATAACAAAGCACCTTATATCATTTTCTATATATATTTCTGCACTGTTCTCAAGAAGAACCAGAGAGGACACTACACCCAATGATATTCTAAAAACCAGAAAATTCTCACCAGCTGGGGTGAAGTTGGTAAAATAAATAATGCAAAGGTTTGGAGAACTAAATGACACATCTGGGTCAGTCCTGATAAGCATCTACCTGGGTCCTTCGTTCTGGAGGAGGACAAAGACCCATTATAGGAAGCATATCAGATGGTGATATAGAACTCTAAATATGGAATTGGTACCCCCAAGAAATGCACCAAGCCAACTTTATTGATTTTTTGATACCTGCCTAAAGCCTACTGTTCCACTAGGTATCTGTAAATAATTTGTAGCCTCTATTAAATACATGGTACACTCTAAGTGTACCTCTATGTGTTTGCTTTTCTATCCTCCATCACTGTTTTATTGAGGCTTATTTACGGTAGCTTTATATTGCTACCACTTTAGAATTTTATGAATGGTGCACTACAAATGGCATTTACCCATAAGCAAATATATAAACATTCCTTGGCTGCTATTGTCTTAATAGAGGCTATGACATTGTAAAGCAATGTATGGTGGGTTGGATCTACAAATGTCTTGCACAAGTAGAAAAGCACACTGAATACCATAAGGTCATTCTGACAAATTCTCTTTAATTCTTTGTTGTCCTGAACCCACCGAATTCCACTTGCAAACACATCCTGTGAAATCCCACAATGGCCATTTTTGGGGAACCACAGACAGCTGTAATAGAGGAAAGAGGCAGGGACAGATAACCAAACAAAGTTCTATGCACCTTTGTTTGGATCCATCTAATCATATATTAATGCAGGACTTACTGCTCTACAGAAGAAAACTGTAGGAGTGAAAAACTAATTCCACATTCATTCACAAAATGAAACGTAACCTATCATTTGTAAGGATCTACAATACATTTTGTTGCACTTATTTATAGACTTGGCTCATTTTGTCATATGAATATTTAAGCCAGTATAATTTGTCATGGGAGAGGGCTGGGTCCTCAGGATCCAATCAGAAAAATTCCAGTGTGCAAAAGACATTCTTGTAAACCAAATTTGTCTTTCCTTGTGACATAACTCAAGAGACAGAAAAGTCTTAGCTACTCTTTCAGACCTTAATATTAATAATTAAGCCACATTTTACTTAACTAGAGAAACAGATAGTGTTCCCTCCTTATCCTTCTACATTTGATTTTAAAGAAGCTTGGCATGTAATAAAGGAGTTACTTACTTGCTTCCACCCTCCAGTGATTAATTTGCTCCATACTTGCAAAGTAACATTTCTGCTACTATATTAATGTGTGCCTAATATATGCTATATCTAAGAGTTTACAGTTATTACTAACACCTTCCCACCTTAGAGTTAATTGAGGGCTTTAATCATGCTTAGCTGTCAATCTTTCACAGCTAGCAAAATATTGATCTTCTTCTTAGATCTTCTTTGGATTCTCCCTGATTGGCTACACAAGATCCATTGAAGCATGGTCTTCCTCTATTTTTGATGATCTTCCCATCACCTCAGAGTTCTTTGGTTTCTGGAATCTGCAGATTTTCAGCAGCCAAACTGCCTACATTCACAGGATTTCTTTTAATGACTGCCAAAAATTAGGGATCAGAGTACAAAATCTTGAGAACTGAGACTGAAATCCTCCAACCCTCTTTTATTAGTGAATTCATGAAGCTGGGGTCTCTTTGAAGCTGTTTAATTTCTTTTTCCCATGCTTTTTGCATGACTGCTTCTTTGATGGCCCTGTAACAACCTCTCCCATTTGCTGATTATTTCTGTCTAGAAATACTCTTGTATCTAGAACTACTTCCCTTCTCTTTCAGAGTCAGCATCATCTTTCATAGCTTATGTCCTCCATTCTGTCAGAAACAGGGGAGTAACTTGGCCAGTGGTAGGAGTGACATCAAGCCTACTCTTAACAGGTATGGCCTAAAAGGCTTCATCATAAAATGTTCTAACTACACTATCATTCATTGGCAAATCTTTCCAAGAGCCAGAATATAAATGTTATATGTAAATGCATAGCTAGATTAGATCAGTGTTTCTCAACCTTGGCAACTTTAAGATGTGTGGACTTCAAGCAAGGCTGGCTGGGGAATTCTGTGAGTTGAAATCCACATATCTTAAAGTTGCCAAGGTTGAGAAACACTGGATTAGATAGATAGATAGATAGATAGATAGATAGATAGATAGATAGATAGATAGATAGACAGACAGACAGACAGACAGACAGACAGACAGATTTAATACATAATATAATATATACATGTCTCTCTGTGTGTATATTTAATATTACATTTCCCATGTAAATGTAAATGTTACATGAGATTAACATTCTTGATTGTAAACTATGCAACCAAGGAAAGCTGTTTTCAAGAAGGATCAAACTAAAAGTTCTGCTGTACCCGTTCCAAGCCAAGTACTTCTCTCATCCATTCTCAAGAACTGAACATTTAAGTTTCATTAGAAATAAACTGCCGCTCCTATTATTTTTATCAACAAGAGCAAGGGAAGTAACTCCCTGAACCCCACGGTCGCATCATTTGCAGAAATGCCATTGGCAGCTCCTAGCTTCTATTGTGTGATAGCCATGGGGAAGGTTAGGATGACTGGCTTTGTTGCGTGCAAGTGTGTTAGTCACACATGATGTGCACGTGAAGGAATCATTCTGCCATTATCCCTCAAACAGAGGCAATTCTAAAGTAACACTCCCCTCATGAAAAGGAAGTGCTTTGTTTTCGTAAGGTGAAAGTTACTTTAGAAATGGCTCTGCGGGATGGATTGAACTTCAGTTTTGATCTAAATAAGTTAATGTGCCCTGAGAGTTTACCAAAAGAAAAACAAAAAACCCAACAACAAAAAAGAAGTGACTTATATTCTGTAGATTTGCGGAGGTTGGAAAGGGAGTTCTTCACTGCCTGGCAATTATTTTTATATCTTAGAAAGTGTTGCCTTCTACACCAAAGAGAACAAAATCTCAGATACACTTTGTTGTGTTTTGTATTTCGGTTTTAATACCCAGCAGTCCATTGTGGTTTGTGCTTTGGATATCCACCTCTTTGACAACAGCGTGCTCAGTTCAATATAGTTAAATGGATACTCGCTGAGTTCCTGTTATCTGACAGTTTGCCTTTTGCTCATCATTAGCAACAGACTTGGCTTGTTCCAAAGCGAGCATAAGACAACTTAGGGAAAAGAAGTAGCTTTCTGCACGTGGCTGTCAGGGGTCCTAAAAAAGGCCTACGGGGTTCCTTTCCTTCCTCCTGTAGAAAAACAACAATTTAGTTCCTAGCTCTATGGAGTTTGGAAGCTTAGTATTTCCAGAAAAAGAAATACCTGGATTGTGGATAGTTATACCTTTAACTACCTTTATGTGGTCCTTTATCCCCTGGCAACTAAGTAATAAAGCTTTATCAAATCTTTGATCTACTTTCCTTCCACAAAACGAAAAGGATGCGTAACTATAAAAAGCATTTTTATTGGTTTATCTGCAAGGACGGACCTGGATTAGATTAAATCCTTTTGAAAGCAAGAATTGTCGTTAGATAAGCTATTCGGAAAGCAAATACTAAGAGGACTGGTTCTCTCTTCGCTTTAAGACTAGCCACGTGCCGCAAATACTTAATGTTTGCTCATAAGAAAGGACTGTTAGAAATGACTAAATTGATTAGGGAGGGAACATTAACTATAAAAGACTTGAAACCCTTTATGGACTTTTTTTGCTGAAAACTGATAAAAATGAACTGGTGATTTCCGGATTTATCGATTAATATGGGTTGAATGTGGGCAGAAGGGAACCATGTTATGTAATTTTGAAGGGGGAAACGGTTTCAAGTATGTCTATAACTGCTGTAAAGAAGATGGGAAGTCACTTCTTTAATTATCTTTTTGTTTTCTTTCTCTTTCTCTCTGCTCTTTATTGTTTTCACCATTTTATCTTTCCTTCTCTCTTACTTCTTTTTCTACATTGCTTTGTGTTTATCTTTTAACTTCGTGAAAAAAACTTCTTAAATAAAAATTATATTTAAAAAAAGGACTGTTAGCTAGCAAATTTTGAGGATTTTAATT